GTTGGCTAAGATATGGAGAAAAGGGAACTCTTATACACTGTTGGTAGAAATGTAAATTAGTACAGCCTTTATGAAAAACACCATAGAGATTTCTCAAAGAATTAAAACTAGAACTGCTATATGATCCAGCTATATATATTTTTATTTTATTTATTTATTTTTTTAATTGTTGGGGATTCACCGAGGAAACAAAGAACCAGGTTACATTGATTGCATTTGTTAGGTAAAGTCTCTCTTATAGTTGTGTCCAGCCCCCAAAAGGTGTGTCACACACTGTGACCCTCCCATCCCTCTTCTTCCTTCCCTCTTTCGGCTCTCCCCTTCCCCCACCCCCTACCATGTACTAGGTCATTAACTGTCCTCATATCAGAATTGAGTACATAGGATTCTTGATTCTCCATTCCTGTGATGCTTTACTAAGACTAATGTGTTCTACTTCTATCCATGTAAGAAATCAATATATTAAAATTTGCACTGGTATGTTTATTGCAGCAATATTCACAATAGCAAATACATGGAATCAACTCAAGTGTCCATCAGCAGAGGACTGGACAAATAAAACATGGTACATTTACACAATGGAATACTATGCATCCATAAGAAAGAATTAATGAGTGTGGACACAACTACTACAGGGACCTTACCCAACAAACATAAACATTACTTAATCATTTGTACCCTCAAATTAATCTGAAATTTAAAAATATAAAATAAAATAAAAAGTGAAATAATTTTTTTTGCAGCAACATGGATGAAATTGGAGGCCACATTATCTTCCATAAAACAATTCAAACATGGAAATACAAATACTGCAAATTTTCATTTGTAAGTGGTAGCTATTTAGTATGTACACATAGACGTATTAAAAGATGGACAATGGAAACTTGATGGGTGGGGTTAGAGGGAGGTAAATATTGGAAGATTATTTGGTGGTTACATTGTATGTTGCTCCAAAGATGATGTACTGAAGGGGCTGTGACTTCATCACAATGCAATATGTTAATGTAGTAAAATTGTATTTGTTCCCATGAGTATACAAATAAAAAATAAATTAAAAAAAATAACCATTTGTCTAACCTGATCACCCCTTTTCACGCTAAACCTTAAGAACAGAGTAAATCAGGTTCAGCAAATTTTTTTCATAAAGAATCTAGTAATAAATATTTTCAGCTTTGTAGTAAAAAAAAAAATTAAACTTTGCAATCTTATGTTTAAATTAGAAATATCAATAAGAACTCACAATCATTTTCACTTTTAAAATAAATATTTCCTAACTCTGTCCACTGAAATGGGCTGTAAGCAATGACAACTCATTAGCTATGTATACCCACACTGTGGTCTCTAAATACCATTTGCCATTAAAAAGAACTACATGTATAGCAGGGCATTGTGGTGGGTGCCTGTAGTCCTAGCTACTTGGGAGGCTGAGGTAAGAGAATCGCTTAAGCCCAAGAGTTTGAGGTTGCTGTGAGCTGTAGTGCCACAGCTCTCTACCAAGGGTGACAAAGTGAGATTCTGTCTCCAATAAAAAAAAGAACTACATGAAGAGATAGTTGATTTCACATACATACTTGGGTAAATCTGTTGTACAAGAAAATAAAGATATTATCAAAGACTCATGTCAAAAAAGTACAACAGTCAACTCATAAGAATTCTCACTACCCAAAAGAGAACAATTTGTATTGAAAACATCAAATACATAAAAATCCTTATGATTATAAAATAAGCAAACAACCACTATTGGTCACCACTGGAAGCTAGGGCATCATTTTACTACTTTGAAAATTCATAAATTAGAAAAAAATCAAAAATTCATCCTCCTAAACTTTCAGAGTTAACAGAAGTTGATATGAGAAAGTTCTTTTGTTCTGAGACAGGATCTCACTTTGTTGCCCAGGCAGAGAGCAGCAGCATCATGACAGCTCCCACAGCAACTTCAAACTCCTGGGCTCAAGCAACCCTCCTACCTTAGCCTCCCAAGTAGCTAAGATTCTAGGCGTATGCCACCATACTCAGCTAATATTTCCATTTTTCGTAGAGATAGCTCATTCTTGCTCAGATTGGTCTTGAACTCTTGACTTCAAGTGATTCTCCTGCCTCAGTCTCCCAAAGTGCTAGGATTATAGGCATGAGCCACTATATCCAGCCAATATGGGAAAGTTCCTTATAGAAATGTTCCTATTAAAAAGGAAGGTGAATTCATCTGTGAATTCATCTCTTCTAACTAGGTAATCTTTATTAAAAAACACTATTTTATAGCACCAATGAAAATAATGGATTTAGACGAGAATCATTAGGGCTTGCTAAAACCATTAAGTCAAAGACTGATGGGGAACTTTATAATGGAGGAATCAGACTCAGGCTACCAGAGCCCACTAATCAATTCTTACATAAAAGAAGGATGGATGATGGGAAGCTGCCTGGTGGATAAATGTACATTGCTTCAGTGGTATGTAGGCACTGAAGACCCTAATTTCACTACAATGCAGCAAAACTCACTTGTGCTCCATGAATGTACACAAATAAAAAAATGGGAACTTAAAAAAAAGGGACAACCAGCCACTACTTGAAAACTTCATCTGCATAAAAATCAATGAGAGTCTTTAAAAGATTTTCTCATGTGGTAGAAATGTTTATGCAATTTACAGAGTATAATGGTAATAGTAATGGTATAATAGTAAACTATTTTTAATTTTTATTACATATTTCTCTTTCATGATGAAAATGCAAAAAATTCATATATTCATTTTGAAATTTCAATCCTATTTTTATACTTATCAACTATTTTTCAAAAGGAGTTTTAATGATTTTAGTCTTTCAATAATACTCACTGTGAATTCATCTCTTCTAACTGGGTGAGCTTTCTCCAGGGATTATACTCAGAGTCAATACTGTAAAGCCGCATGTGCAAGGCTAACACATGAAACAGCTGATCTGAATAATTGAAGAAAAGGTAATTAGAAAATTCACACAATTCTTCCAGAGAAAAATTCAGACAAAATTTCTAGAGATTTCATAAGGAAATCTGTTTCCTATCCTGATTATTAAAATTCACCCATTTTAAGTCCCAATTACTCCACACTTTCTTTTAAGGTAAACTCTGAAATATATACCAAAATAATTCCTACTAGAATATGAACTGTCCCTATGCTCAATCTTAATTTGTCTTTCTCAGGCCTTGTCACACAACTACTCTTGACTTTATGCTGCAGCCTCCCAACCTGTACTTCTCACTGCTGTGGTTTCCTCCTAACCAAAAATTACCTTTATCTTCAATTCCGTTCCCTGGGTAATATGGACAATAATATCCTAATAAATCACTGTTAGGTAAAGTTCCTTCTTTACCTAAATCTTGTTTAGACTGAGTAGTAAATGCATCATCTTTTGACTCAATATTAAGAAAAAATAACTGAAGTATTATTTACAAGTACTATTCCAGATATTTTAATTTTTTCTATCTGAATTCTAATAATAACCTACTAATCTTAGCTTTTAACAAAATTCTGCTCATGACATTTAGAACAAAGGTTTTTGTTTAAAATTGTTCAGGAAAAAAGCCTAAGTTTTGCTTTTATATCAGATGCCTCCTTTTTTTTGGTATAAATGACAAGAAATGGAGTAAATCATTCTGTCACAAATATTCAAATGTATTTGCAAGTCATAAGTCATTTTCTGAACAAATGCAAACAATATAACCTAATCATTGTACCCTTATATATATCTGAAATAAACAAAAAAGAAAGAAAACACCAACAATTAAATGACATATACTATCTACTGTGAGACACACTTCAAATAAATAGTCTTTTTAAAAAAGTCATATTCCAGAAAGTGAGATAACAGTTCTTGACATATGACTGAATTCTTAAATCCAGAAAAAAATTAGATGAATGGCACAAACCTATTGTCACTTATTCTCTAAATCAGAACAGTCAAAACTAAACCAGATTTTGTTTCTCTGTGCAACAGACTTAGAAGTTAATTACATTTTATGACTCATTTACCCAAGATCCATCAATGTAACTCTCATGTGACTTGGGTGGTGTGTGGTGTGTATGTGTATGTTTACATGAGCAGGGAGTAGTAGTTTGGGGAAGCCATGGTAAAGATAAGCGCAATGATTTGAGCAAAATAAATGTGCATTCGGAAAGGGTCTACATTTCTGTCAAATTTCAATCTGATCTCTCTATAACAGAAGAATTTAAATATTCTGTTTCATCTCCTATTTATAAATTGATGCATAGTCTTTCTTAAAATTTCTTCATCCTATTAATGGCTAATAGAAGCTGAGTTATTTGTGTTCCAAGCGCTGTTACATCAATTATCTCAACCAATTTTCACAAAAATTCTACTAGAAAGGTAATATTGTTATCCCCACTTTTGAGACAAATAAGTTTCTCAAATTTCCATGGAACCTGGTTCCATGGATGAAACTGAGAAAAAGGAAGTTTTAGCAGAGGAATAAGACGATGAGAACAAACATACTGGTAAATTTTATTTTATTTCAGTTCGATTACACATAAGAGATCAATTTTACCTAGTACATACTTTATAATAGAAGGGTGTTTTAATGACTAAAACCTGTAAGCATTTAAAAAACTACATTCTTCTAGCAGAAAAATATTATCTCAAGTTTCAAGGTTACATTCTTTTTACACGTGTTAAGTTAGGGTGACCAGACCTCCCGATTTTGGCGGGACAGTCCCGCTTTTCAACAATTTGTCCCGCGTCCCGCGTCCCGCGGTGTTTTAAAAAAGTCTCGATTTTTGGAAAGAATGCACGAACGGGCTGGAGAACAAGGGAATATACAGCTTTCAGCCGCCATATAGCTATTTCGCCAGAATATGAGTTTTAGATTATTTTTGTTAATTTTATAATGTTAAACTGTAATAAATAATTGCTGAGAAGTGATTATCGAGAACTGCTTATCAAAGTTTGCCTTGTTGTCAGGCCTTGCCCGCGTCGTCCCTGCCCCGCTCCGCCCCGCGCCATGTTGTCCCGCCTTACAGACAAATCTGGTCACCCTAGTTAAGTGGATCAAAGAGCTCTTTTTAATGTCTCCTTTCAAAATGAAGGTCAGTCTTCTTAGTTTGCCCACATTAATCAAAAGCGCAGAAATTACAGACAGTACTAACTTACTTACCATTGAAACCATGGTCAACACAGAAAATAATGTTCTAATTACCCTACTTTCCTAGCCCCTGCCACAAATAAGGAATTTCAAAATAGTAGAAAACTTTTTTATCTTCTTCTATCTCATCATTCTACAGATGAGAAAATCGGCCAAAGAAAGACATTCCTTTACAGGTCACTCTTCCTTGGAGTTTTTACGATTAAAAGAAAAGCATAAAATTCCTTTATTCACACATACACACCCCTTCCTATTTCATGAAAACTGAGATTATAATCTTGAGTCATCTTCTAAAACTATTAATACAATATACCACAAGATTTCATTTTAGCTTAACTATCAATAGAAACCAAAACAGAAGCAAAAATAACACATCTAATGAGGCCTATCTACCTTTCAAAAAAAAAAAAAAACCCTGAAAATTGTAGATAACTTCAACAGAAATAGGAAATTAACTAAATAACCATTAATACCTTTTACTACTTTAATACACTGTGCCTTCCAACTTTAGTTTTATCAGTCAGAAGGAACTCTAGTAGTCACTTAGCTGCAATAACACTTCTCATCCCAAATACTGAGATGCAGAAGGAGGACAACCTGTGATCATAATCAAAAAGCTACCAATTAAAAAAGTATATCACAAACCAGCTGTACACATGACATCTGAAAGTTGAAAAATAATTATATCACGAAAGGATACTACTATGGTTTTTAATAACAATAGCAGTAAAAGAATAGCTAATTAACTCCTTTTCTGGTATAACACATTTTAGAACTCTGACGTTTAGTCTACATTTATAAAGGGTATGGAAATGAGAAACATCATCAAGTTTACTTACAGGTGTGCTGTGATTTCAACCTATATATAGAAGGCATCAGTGTCTAGTAGGAGCCAGAAAGTCTTGGATTGAATCCAAGCTGTGTACTGGTTATGTGTCCTTAAATTACCTCATTTCTGTAAAATGAATATAATACCACCTTTCTGTGCTATTATATAGTAATAGTAGGTACAGTAATACACATTTGTAGTACATATACAAGGTAGGTTTGCATACATGCTAAATCATACATGGTTTCTAAAAATAAATTTCAAATGTGAAATAAGGTTAAATTTGCAAACTTGAGGTTTTACAACTAAAATTAGAGATGATAAATCAGAAACATAAGGTTTCTATATCAAATAGTAACATAAATGCTTAACCCTTTTCTTTCTCTTTTCTTTAATTTTTAGTACCACTCTTACCTGGTTTTCTTTCAGTTCCTTCTCAATTACTTTATGTGTTCTTCTGTATCTACTGAACCTTATTACAAGGTGACATTTTCCCACAAGAAAGAAAAAGGATCTTTTCTTAGTCCTCTTTCTCTCTCACTCCACACACATACTTCTTCACTCAAGCCCTTGTCTCCCACTTCTACCTGTAAGTTTACAATTCACAAGGTCTCTAGTACTTCAGATGTGCACAGCACCTCAACGTCTGTACATCAAATTAACTTGATTATACACCCAACGCAGCTCCAATTTTCCTTTTACCGTCACTATTTGAGTGATTGACACCACAGCCCATGTTCGGAGTCATCTCCCACATCCTTGCCCTCCATATCCAACTGATCACCAATCCTATCGGTTCTGCCTCCTATGATCCATCCTATTTTGCTCCACTCTGCTACTACATTATTTTCCACCTGGATTATTCAAAAGAATGCCTTTTGTTTCACTCCTTCAAATCCCTCTAAACAATAAATCTATTCACATTAACTCATAACTGACTGGTAAACCAAGGAAAGACTAGGCATAGGAAGTCCTTCATAAGTTAGCCACTATCTTCTTTTGTCAGGCAATTCGTAACCTTCCTTCCTCTCTTTCCTTTCTCAATTGTTGTGCTGTCTCTCATCCTAGAGTAAGACCTACTTGTCTTCTAGGCAAACTCAATTCATATTTAACGAGCAGCTCACATGCTCCTCTGTAAGGTCTTCTCTGATAGTTCAAAAAGATGATTATTCCTGGCTTTATGCATTCTCTATAACTTATTAACTTTAGTACTTCTTAAGCAGTCCTGTAATTGTTTTTCATGTTTTCCTCTATTAGATGATGAGAGATCTCTGAAGAAGACAATTGATCTTTATGTCTTTGTATTTCCTAGGCTAACACAGTGCTTAATTTGTAATAGGATTTTTAAAAGTAGGCTGAATATTATATTTATATAATATTTACACAACTATAATCCTATGGAAAAATCATATAAGTGTAAAATCCATGACGGTTTTATACTTTTTCGTTTCTAACATAATAACACGTTGGTTTATTATGTAGTGACTAAGAAGTGGGCCAATCAATCAGCCCTATTTCCACTGCCTCAAAAGAGACTGACCTCTCAATTCCAACTGTTAAAGCCACGCTTGACCTGCTTGCTCCTAGAATCTTCTTGCTGGTTGCTTCAAAAATTCACCTGAGACATTCTATTTTCTGCAATTCCTAAATCAAATTATAAACAACTGTGACAAGTCAAAGGTATAACATGCTTAATCACAAGACAGAAACCTCATTACTGAAACTGAGAAAACTTCGAAGCTTGATTTATATCCAGAAAAACCTATTATTTAATAAGAAGAACTCTTAGTTGGAACAAAAAAGTTAAGATTTAATAATCCCATCTGTCTTAACCAACACTAAGGTAAGATTATTTTATTTAAAAAACCATAAAATATAAAGTGAGACTGTCTCGAAAAAACTATAAAACTGTAACTACAAATTTATTATATAATTAAGAGTTTTAGATGTTCTGTGAACACTATAGACACTCCC